CCCCCTCCCAGCAGCATTTCTAGACCCTCCCTGATGTCTCTGCACCAGCTCTGGCTATTGCCTGGAACACAAAGCCATGGGATGATCCTGAATCCCTCTGGGTGACCTCTTGCAGCACAAGGGTCCCCGTTGAGTGACATTTCTTTTTCCTCACCTTCAGTCCCAACCTTCAATGCTACTCTTTGTGGTGATTTCATTCATTTCCAATACAGAGAAAAGCTCCATCCTGTCAGATCTCCTCTAGATCCTCTCCAGTTCTTCCTCATTCCTCCAGAATGGGGAGCCCCACACCCAGACAGACCAGTCCAGATGTGGTGACCCCAGGGCTGAGTCCAGGGGGGTGACAACTCCCTTGTCTGGCTGCCCACACTCGCCCTAAGGCAGCCCCGTGTGCAGTTGGCCTTCAGTCAAGGGGCCATTCTGATTCTTTGTAAAGTCATAGAGTCAAGTGGCACTGTGACACTGCAGGGCCTCGTGGAACTAAAGGAATGCAGGGACACTGTGGAATCTCATGGAACCAAGGGACCATTGTGACATGTGGGGTCTCTTTGGAACAAAAGGAACCCTGAGATATCTCAGACCCTCATGGATCCAAGGGGCCACTGTGCCTCCCGAGAACTCCATGGAATCAAGCAGAGCCGCTGCCTCCCCCCCCCGTCGCACGGACCGGAGTCGCCGGCTCTGCCCCGCTTGGACACCTCTGGAGTCAGCGTGTTCTTGGGCAGCACAACTTGTCTCAGACCAGAGAATTTCCCAGATTTTGCTTTGCCCCCTCTTTCCCCTGGTTTTGTTTTTTGTTCTTTGTTCCTTCAGTAGGAAAAGAGGGAAGGGAGGCACGTGTTGATCCCTGTTTTTATCTGTTTACAAAAGGGAGTTGGGTCGGGAGGGGAGAGAGGAGGCAATTTCTCTCTCTTCTGTTGCTTTGAACTCTTCTCTTGGTATTGCTGGTTTTGCTGCTACATTTCTTGTCAGTAAACTCTTATTTTATTCACTTATACCTCCTTGTATTTTGTCTCCCTGTATTGGTGGGGAATAAAAGGGGAGTGAGTTCATTTTTTTGGAGTTCCCGCCCCAATATGTGTCTTTAAACCAGGACAGGTTGCTCAAGGGCTCCCTGAAATTTGGTATCATCCACAAAGGACTGGAAAATACATTTTGTCCCATTAGAGAGATCTTCTGCATTGGTGTTCAAGGGCTGGTCACTGAGGGATTTCACCAGGGAGTTGCTGGCAAGAGGACATTGTACAATGGATTTTATTTGACACTCTTCATTCAGCCAACTTCCCACCCACCACATCTTCCACTTCTTCAGTCCAACTCTCACCAATCTGGCTAAAAGGAGACCACAAGAGGCCATGTCAAAGGCCTTGATAAAGTCTGGGCACACAACATCCTCTTGTATTTTCTCCCACAGGGGTTCTGCAATCCCTGCCTTGTCCTTCCCATGCCTGGAAATGGCTGCAGGAGGACTTGCCATATCCCCTTCTCTGCTGAGCCTGAGCAGTCTGGAACTCTGCCAACCCTCCTTGGTGCCCTGTTTGCAGACTGGTTCCATGTCTGCCTTTGCCAAGGCCCCAGGAAGCTCTGGGATGGCTCTGGCCTTTCCAAGGGTTTGGGAGAGGTCTCCCAGTGACACTGCCCAGCCTTCCCAGTATCCCTGACACCAAAACCTTTTCCATATCCCACACTTCCAGAGGAGTGCCCAGGACACAACACAGGTTGTCCTGGTGGTTCTGGAGAATGAGAAGGGATTTCTTCCTCGAGGCCAACCCCTCCAATTGGATTTGAGTGCAGCTGAAAGGTTTCCTCAGCATTTTGCCCGGTGCCTCCCTGCCCTGAAGGTTTCTGGCCATCAGGCTGGAGCTGAGGGGGTTGGGCAGGTGCCTGAGGAGGGTGTAGAACAAGGGCTGTGTCCAACTCTGCCAGGAGGGCTGTGCTGGGCAAGGCTGAGGAGGCTGCAGAAAACAGTGGCCCTGGGGAGGTGAGAGGAGCAGGTGGAGAGACCTTGTGCCTGCCCATGCTGGGCAGGAGCTGCCCCAGGATGGCAGCTCTGAAGCACTCACAGGATGTCCCTGTGAACAGGAGGGGAAGACTGGATCTGAAAAATGAAACCTGGGAAGCAGAGAGCAGGAGTGTCATGGTGACACTGCAGGAGAGTTCCAGCCCTGGAGCAAGGTCACAGAAGAAGTGACCCAGTCCATGCAGTGGCCTCAGAAGATCCCACAGCATCCTGGAGATGCTGGAAGGGAGCCCAGCTCTGCTTCACAAGTTCCCAGGGCCTGTCCCTGCCTGTGCTCAAAGGGCAGTCCTGCAGCGTGCTGTCCTTTAGGAAATCTGTAACCGTTCGTTAGGATAGATTCTCGGAATAAAGACAAGTGCAACATACATTCAAACGCACAAAATATTTTTTTGTTACAGTGAGAATAATAATAATAATAATCAACTTAGCAAAGAGAATCAAGAACTAAAAAGAATACAAAATAACTACCTTATCAGGTGGCATTAAAACAAATACGATGAAAGGCATTTAATACAGTATTAACTAATAAAAAGGGAGTTAAAGGGATACCAAAAAAAAGGATCTTAACACAATATTACAGATAATTATTAACATGATATTGGTTAGTAAAAAGGGAAATTAAAAGGAAAATACTATGGACAACTTTTAATAGAGTATTAACTAAATAAAGGGGAATTAAGGGGAAACTAAAAGGATATAAAACATTTGCTTTCTCATTTGCTTCCTATCAATAAACTGTGCTTACCCACACAGACAGGCCAGGGCTGCCAGGATCTGCAGCAGCTGGTCGGTGCCCATGCTTAGCGGGCGTCCCCACGGAGGAACAGTCTCGAGTGAAGGATGAGCATCGCTCACCCCAGCAGTCCTGACACCCCATTTTAGCAGCTCTACATTACACCACATAGGGCCAGTACGCAGTATAAGGTGATGCCTGAGTGGCAGCCAAACCCCACCTGTTCATCACCTGATAGCAACAGTCTGCGCATGCCCTGCTGTAGGGCAAGGGGCGAGCGACCCCTGCCCACACAATCTTCCTCTCACCATCATCTTTCTCACCCCTATGGACGACCTCTCCAATTGTGTTTCAAGGGTATTTGTGTCCATCTTGCAGCATGGAGCCAAGCCAAGAAGGAACTCAGCTCTGATCATGAGGGACATCAAGTTGACTTGCTAAAAAACACAATGGACTTTTCAGTTAACTTGTGCCATAAAGTTACATTGTACAGCACTCTGGCTGGTTTCACATCCTAATATAATTTCTTTCTCACACATCTATGCTCCACTGATCATCTAATTCAAAAGTATCCCCCTTACAGCATTGCAGGTCCACGTTGCTTGATTTAATGAAGATGTTGCTTGATTTACTGAAGGTATTGCTTGATTGAATGAAGGTATTGCTTGATTTAATGAAGACAGGCTCTTTGTTTATCTTGGGAGCATTAAAAGTTTTACATCCTGGATTCATGTCTGGCTGGAATTCTGGAGCTGATACCTTTAACCCAATGCTGGTGTTGGGTGTTGCAAACATCCTGGCTGAGTGATTTTTTTTTCCTTTTAGCTGCAAGCAAGCTTTTCCTCTGCCCAGTTACATCTAATACAATGTCTGTGGATGTTCTCCAGTAGGGAGAAGGGTGATTTCTGGATTAACAGTTCCCTGGAAATAAGAAACTCTTGGTTTCCAGGTGTCCTGCAGGAAGCCAGGTTTTTTGGTCTTGATTTGCTAATTGAACCCCTGGAAATAGCCATGAAGGTAATTTGTTTGAAGACCTGAATGCACCTGCCCTGCTCTGGCAGGGGATGTGTAATTTAGTGCTGTCTGTGTCAGCTGTTGAACAACGTTCCCAACAGAATTCCCAGCCAGCTGAGGATCACTCTCCCACCTCTCAGAAGGAGTTGGTCCGGTTCCTGCTGGCAACACCCACCGAGTCCGAGCTGCACTGTCAGCTGAGAACACATTTCTCTTTCTAACAAAGTTCTAGGAATTTCTTCTCAACATCTCATCTAAACCTCCCTCTTTTCTATTAAACCCACTGCCCCCTGTGCTGTCCCTCTCTGGAGTGTTGGTGTCTGGTGCTGGAATGTGGCAACGTGAAATGCAAACAATGTGTTCTCTTGGACTGAGTTTGGATTCTGAGCTGTGGCACAGTGACCTTGACTTGGAATTCCAGGGTGGTTTGGGCTGCATTCCTGCTTTCGGGGGAAGCTTTCCTGGAGGAGCAATTTGTTGAAATGTAAAATGAACGAAGGACAATTTTTGAGAGCTTTGCATTTATATTTCATTAGTCTGAAGTAGTAGAATAAATGGTCTTGTGTGTATTTATCTGTATAGAATCATGGAATGGTTTGGGTTGGAAGGGACTTTAAAGGTCTTTTCATTCCACCCCCTGCCATGGGCAGGGACACCTTCCACTAGACCAGGTTGATCCATCCTGTCCTTGGACACTTGCAGGGATCCAAGGGCAGCCACAGCTTCTCTGGGAATTCCATCCCTGCCCCTCCCCACCCTCCCAGGGAAGGATTTCTCTCCGGTCTCCCTTCTAACCCTGTTTAAAAACCATTGTCCCTTGTCCTGTCCCTCCAGGCCCATATCAAAAGTCCCTCTCCCTCCTTTTTCTAAGCCCCCTTCCCTGGTGAGGTGTCTTCAGCTCCTCCCAGGACCTGTGTGTGTCTGTATCTATCTTGTATCTGTCTATATTTCTAGACAGGATATATTTTAATACATTTCTATCCATAGATTTATACCTAGATATTTATACACTGTAAATATTAATGCACACCTATCTACACAATGATGTTAACTTTGTGTCCAGACCTACCCCTTCCCCTCTGTAACCTTTTTGGGGGGTTTATTCCTCGGGATTTCCAGGGTCTCAGTTTCAGTGGAGCGGATCTTTCCCACCTGGATCTTTGTTAAATCAACTTCAAGATGGCCAATCTGAGCCGCTGCAACCTGGCCCGTGCCAACCTGTGCTGTGCCAGCCTGGAGAGGGCTGACCTGTCAGGCTCTGTGCTGGATGGAAGAGCTGCTGCAGCTTGGGAGGGCTGGGCTTGTGTTAACAGAGAGGAGCTGGAACAAACAGAGCGGTGTAAAACATCGAGTTCTTAAATATATTCTAGAGTTGTTCTGGTTCCCAAAGCTTTTACACTTCCTCACAGTAATGATTTAATGGGATTGACTCCCAAAGCAGAAATTAAAAGTGTCTTCTTGATTGTCTTTGGTGTTGTTCTTCCGGCTCTCACTGACTCCTGTCTGTGCCAGTGTGCCAACCTGCCAGGGGTGAAGATGCTGCGCTCCAATGCAGAGGGAGCGTCCCTGAAAGGCTGCAACTTTGAGGACCCATCAGGCCTTAAAGATAATCTGGAAGGTAAGAAGCTTTTGCCTTGTGAATCTGTGCCAACTGAAGCCTGTGTTTGTGCATTTCTATGGCCCGGAAAAGGTCCAGCTGTGGTTTGTCCAACCCTGAGAAGGGCCCACAAGGGCTGCACTGAGTCTGTGACCATCTCAGCCCAAAATCCCCTTGTCCTCCTCCAACTCAAAAAGCTCTGAGGCAGCACCAGTGTGGAGCTGCTGTGTTTCTGACTGTTTTTCCTCACAGAACTCCTTTTTGTGTGTGTTCCAGGTGCCAACCTGAAAGGAGTGGCCATGGAGGGCAGTCAGATGACAGGAATTAACCTCCGAGTTGCAACGCTGAGAAACGCCAAACTAAAGAACTGTAACCTCGGGGGAGCAACGTTGGCAGGAACTGATTTGGAAGTGAGTTGGGATTCATTTTCCATCCTATTCCTTTCTATCCTGTAGTCAGCTGGTAACTTGGGGGATTGCTGGCTTTTGGCTGAGCTCTCCAGCTTCAGAGTACAATGGAGTTCAGGTAAATGGACTTCTTTTAATCCCCTCCCCCCAAATAGCTTTGACCCCCCCAATGCCCCCAAGACCCTTTTAACTCCCCCAAATGCACCCAAAGCCCCCCAAACCCCCCCAAATCTCCCCCAGCCCCCCCCCTCATATCCCTTCCAATCCCCCCCCAAAGAGGGATCACCCGGCACCCTGGGACAGGAACACAGTGGGCTGTACTGAGGGCACTGGGCTGTACTGGGAGGGCACTGGGGGGCTCAGGTGTCCCAAGACATCGTGGCCCAGCTCTAGGAGAGAGCTGGGGAGCAGTGAGGAGGTACTGGTCTGTCCTGGTTTGTACTCCTCAATCCCCAAAGCCCCTCCCCAGCTCCCCCAGGACCCTCCCGCACCCCAAAGCCCCCCAGGCCACCCCAGGCCCCTGAGTTGGTCCTGCTGCCCCTTGAGCATCTGCAGCTGCTGCAGAACCAGGCATTTCATCAGCAAATGTGCAGGTGACACCAAGCTGGGGGTGTGTTGATGTGCTGGAAGGCAGGAGGGCTCTGCAGCACAAGTGGTGGGAGGAGAGGCTGAGGGAGCTGGGGTTGTTGAGGCTGGAGAAGAGGAGGCTCGGGAGACCTCCTCGCTCTCTGCAACTACCTGCAAGGAGGTTGTAGCCAGGTGAGGGTCAGGCTCTTGTGCCAGGAAGCAGCAGTAGGAAAAGAGGGCTTGGTCTCCAGAGCTTGACTCACCACAGACTTTGCAGGGAAATCTGTACTGGCAGCCCAAGTATGTCACGATCCCCCTGCGTTCCCCCCAGGATATTTGGGGCGAGTTCCCCCTTCCTGGGCACCCGTGGTATGGGGGGTGATTGTTCTTCTGCTGTTGCTGTTGCTGCTCCGCCCCATCCCTGCTCTTCTTGCCGCTGTCAGGTGAGCAGAGCGGCCACGATGGGAAAGGGGCAAGAGAAGCAACCCAGGAGCCTGAAACGGGGGAGCGGACAAGGGGAAGCCTGGACAGTGGGGACCTCTGGGATCCCCGGGACAACAAAGTGGAGAATGTGGAGAGGAGGCATGTCTGGGAATGTGGAACCCCTAAGGCGAGAGTCAGAGGAGAAGGGGACCCTTGGGACCCCCAACACTCCCAGCATCCCTAAGTGGGACCCCCAGCAGCCGGACAGGAGAGACCTTCTGACACCAAGAGGGGAGATATGAAAGATGGGTAATTTCTGGGAGAGATTTTTTGGGCTAAGCTTCGTATTTTTAGCTGAAATTCAACATTTTGCAGTTTTGGGGGCTAAGGGTCTTCTTGCTATTTCTGAGGCTTTTTTACCTGAATCTCGGTGGTTTAGGTTTTTCTGGGCTGACTCTTGGTGTTTTGGAGGTTTTTATGGTCACAGGATGCCTGGTGAGTTCTACAGATGGACTTGGGCAAGAGGAACCCCCAAGCCAACGCGCTCAGCCCTTGTTTTCTCCCCCATCAGGATTTGTCCTTCCCAAAGCTTGGGCGGATGGAGGAGGAGGCTGCGAGGAAGAGGAAGATGCCTTGGGCCCCCCAGGCAGGTGAGGAGGAAGTCAGTGGCCCTTTGGGCCGGTGTTGTGCTGGCTCTGGAAGCCGAGCATGGCCCCCGGCTGCAGGACAACCCCGCTGCCGCCGCCGTCCTGCCGGGGCCGGAGTTGGGGACATGTCCTTGGCCTTCCCTGTGGGCCAGAGGCAAATCCCCTCCCTGTTCTTCTTGCTTCCTGCCCCAGGCCCCGAGCTGAGGATGGAGAGCCCAGAGGACAAATCCCCCCAGCAGAAGCTGGTGGGAGAGGCCATTTTGAAGGGCTCCACAGCGCAGGAAGGCAGCGGGGAGGAAAAGGGCCGGAGATCCCTGCGGAGGAGGGGCTCCAGAGCCAGCCCAGGGTGCTCTGAGGAGGAAAGACCCAGTGCGTGCCAGGAAGGCAGCCAGAGCTTGAGGCGGAGCTCCGACCTGGTGGTCCCTGAGCAGCCTCCCAGCTTGGAGAAGCCCTTCAGATGCTTGGAATGTGGAAAGAGCTTCAGGAAGTGCACCAAACTCCTCACCCACCAGCACATCCACACTGGGGAACGGTCCTACACGTGTAGGGAATGTGGGAAAAGCTTCAGGGACAACTCTTACCTTTTCAAGCACCAGCGCATCCACACTGGGGAACGGCCCTACATGTGTAGACAGTGTGGGAAGAGCTTCAGGTACAGCAGCAATCTCCGCAACCACCAGCAGATCCACACTAGGGAAACTAGGGAACGGCCCTACAAGTGTGGGGAATGTAGGAAGAGCTTCAGGAACAACTCCCACCTCTACAGACACCAGCACATCCACACTGGGGAATGGCACTACAAGTGTGGGGAGTGTGGGAAGAGCTTCACCAAGAGCTCTAACTTGACCAGTCACCAACAGACCCACCGGTAAGGGAAGCCCTACCAGTGCCCCGACTGCGGGAAGAACTTCAGCGGCTACTTCCACCCTGAATGAACCCCTTGATGGTGAGGCAACCCCTGGAGTCCAGTGACTGTCAGTCCATCCCTTTCGACCACAAAGGGCCAGTCTCCTTTCACAGGGGCAGCTTCTTCAAACAGAACCCTTCTTGGGGTGTGTGTGAAGATTCCTGCCTTGGCTGGGGACCCCCCAAGGTCAGTCCTGGAGGTTGAGAGCAGAGATCTCCCCCCGAGCATTGGTCTGGGGGAGTTCCATCCATCTCTAATTAAGAATTATTGCTTTTGTGCCAGCTTCAGTAGAATTGCTTCAACAATTGCTTTAGTGTAGAGCACTGTCCTATCTTATCCTGTACTCCTGGTAGTTTTAGTGTTTGTATTGTGCAGTAAATAATTCTGATGAAGATCTTTTGTTTGATCGTTTGTAACCCTAAATCATTTCTATCAATAGATCTGATTTGCCATCATTAAAAGGTGGGGGACAAAAGTGTTTCAGTCACACCTCTCTAATTTCTCTAAACTGAAAGTGTTGGCATAATCCAAGGCTGAGATTGGATCCAGCAGCCTCCAGCACTCCACAGGAAGTTGGGAGCTCAGGGGGGCCACCCCCCTTCTTCAACCCCTCAGTGTCCAAAGACCCCCATGGGACCGCCGGACCTGCCAGACCACCCCCCCTTTTCCACCCTTCTCCCTGTTCCTCCCACTTTCCCACTTTCCCCTCAGTCCTCAATTCCCCCCCCCAAAAATTTTTGTGGTCCAAACCCCCACTTTTTGCCCCCTTTCCTATGGCTGCTGAAGGAGAAAATGAGGCTGCACACACAGAGTTCCATTTCGGGACTTGTCCGCCCATCTTTCCGACGTCCCCCTTTCATTGGGGTTCCTTTGGAAACAGCGCCTGGGGTTTGTCTTTTAGTCCACCGGAATTCCCAGCATGGCCCCAAAGCAGTGCCCTGATCCCACACATTCCCCTCCCCTCATGTGCTGGCTGTGTTCAGCCACCAGAGAAAAACACAGGCTACCATGCCAACCACGTTCCAAGTGGTTTCCACTTTGGCAAATAGCACTCTCTTGATGGAAAACACCAGTCAAGGCCAAAACACTCCTTTTGCATCCTGATTAACTGAATGCAGCAGCTCCTACCTTAACTTGTTCCCACAAAAATTCTCAAGGTTCCTTTGGTTCAAGGAGGCCCCACATGTCCCAATGGTCCCTTGATTCCATGGGGTTCCACAGTCTCCAAAGGGTCCTTTAGTTCCATGAGGCCCTGCAGTCCCAAAATGCCCTTTGGATTCCATGAGATTTCCCATTGTCCCAGGGTCCCTTGTGCTTCAGAAGGAGCTGCAGTGGGACAGTGGCCCCTTGGTTCCATCAGCTCTGCAGTGTTCCAGGAATCCTTGGGTTCCAGGAGAGCCTGCAGTTTCACAAGGACCACTTGAATCCAGGAGGTTCTGCAGGGTCCCAATGGCCCCTGGATTCCGGGAGGTTCAGAAATATCTCAGGGCTCCCTTGGTTCCAGGAGGACACGCATGTCACCAGGAACCCTTGGTTCCAGGAGGTTTGACCGTGTCCCAGAATTCCTTTGATTTCATGAGGCCCTGGATTGTCCCAATGGACTCCTGATTCCATCAGCCCCCTCAATGTCACAATGGTCCCTTGGTTCCATGAGTTTCTGCAGTGTCCCAGGGTTCCTTTTGTTCCATGGGGGACCTGCAGTGTCACAATGGGTCCTGAATTCCAATATTTTTTCCAGGGTGACCGTGCTGCCTTGATTCCATGAGATTTCCCAGTATCCCAGGGCTCCTTTGGCTCCAGAAGGCCCTGCAGTGTCACAATGGTCATTGGTTCCATGAGGTTCCACAATGTCCTTGCTGGAACATGTGTGGCTGTAATGCTGCCCCACCTGCAGAGCTGCCTCCAGCTCTGGGCTCCAGCATAGCAAGGACATGGATCTGTTGGAGCGAGTCCAAGAAGACCACCAAGGGGATCAGAGGGATGGAGCAGCTCTGCTGTGAGGAAAGGCTGAGAGAATTGGCATTGTTCAACCTGGAGAAGAGAAGGCTTTGGGGTGACCTTATTGTGGCCTTCCAGTACCTGAAGGGAGCCGAAAAGAAAGATGGAGAGAGACTTTGGACAAGGGCCTGGAATGACAGGACAAGGGGCAGTGGCTTCACACTGACAGAGGGAAGGGTTAGATGGGATATTAGGAAGAAATTCTTTATGGGGAGGGTGGTGAGATCCTGGCACAGGTTGCTCAGAGAAGTTCTGTCTGCCTCATCCCTGGAAGTGTTCACGGCGAGGTTGGATGGGGCTCTGAAAAACCTGGTGTAGTGGACGGCGTCCCTTGTCCATGGCATGGGGTTGGAACAAGATGCTCTTTAATGTCCCTTCCAACCCAAACCATTCCGTGATTCTGTGACTGGTGGGGGATGTGGTGGTCGGAGCCATCGGGGACAGAGACCCCAGAATGATGGAGTTTTCCTTTCTGAGTGAAGGAAGGAGGGGGCAGCAGAACTGAC